TTTTTTTAAAATTTTGGCTCGTTTGACCTTGAAATAAAGGTCAAAGGTCAAATCCAAGGGCATATTTGAAATCTCCACATATGACTTTTGGATAGCCGTCTGTAAAAATTTTTCATATAATTCCTTCCGTAGGGTAGATAATTAACATTTAATTTTGCCATTTTTGGACAAGGGTGCATTGCAATGAGTGCCACACCTAGACCCCAATTCTGACAAAGCCCAAATTTTACGTGGAACGAGTTGAGATTATAGGTGACCTAAATCCAAGAGATGGGTATGGAGGCCCTTACCGTCTAGGAGGAGAAGCGGTAACGGTGAGATGGCGGCGGAGCCAGAGGAGCCGGCGGAACATGCGGGTCGGGACTAAAACCATGTGTACCGCCAGCGCCTACGCTGGTGGTACAATAATGCTAATTGATAAGTAAATAAACAAAGAATTATGGCCCATTTAAATACATTTCAAGTCTACCAAATTTAAGATGTATGTTTTCAAGATCTGCTCAGGGTCTGACAGTGCTTCTATTCCTCACCTAATTTCTCTCTCTGTATCATAACTGAACTGAGACAGGATACGGTCAGCCAGCAGAGTCCTGTATTCATTAACAAACAGTTCTTTACTGCCATATATGTTCACCAGCATGCTTATTATGTCTGATGTCCTTCTGCTTTTACTTGTCTTAGCTGAAATCAAAGATCATGCAATAAATGAATGACTGTATAATATTGCTAAAGGATTTATAACGCAGTAGACTGCATAACTCCTTGATTCGAAGTACAAGTCAAATTATCGTTTATCTTGAACAAACTTTGTTTTTATTACATTTTGCTTTGGTATTAGCTGATAAACACTGCTTAACTCTAATCTTCTTCAATTTTTATTTATCCATAATGGTTCGGGTCTACTCTTACTTATCATATAAAATATCTCAAACTATCATTAATGCATACAAAATGTTCACTCCTCATCAAAAAAGATAACACAGAGCAGGCTACCAGAAATTTATAAATAGCATGACCATAACAATAATTATTACTAGATTAAAACAAATCCAAGTCAGAGAAGAACTGACCTGGATCAGCATCCACAGGATCTGGCATCCAGTTTTCCCAATCCTCATCTTCCTCATCACTCTGACACGTCTCATCCAGCACCAGGGTGTTCCCCTTGAATAACTCCTCTGATAACTCATTACTGCCTTCTTCTGTCAGACTGGCAACTATACAGCGGACTGTGTCATCTCTTGATCTAGATATATTACCCGGTATATATAATATTATACATAGAATAACTCCTCTGATAACTCATTACTGCCCTCTTCTGTTAGATTGGCAACTTTACAGCAGACTGTGTTGTCTTTTATTCTATGTATTATAATAAATCTTTAAAATACCCTTACCTTATCAAAAGAAAAAAAAATGGATAGAATTAGTCAGTTTAATGACTATTACTGGAATTTACACATTAACTGACATAAATAATTAACCTTAAGTGTGTAAACAAGACAAATGCATAATGTTTCACATAAAATCACAAAAACACACTATGTATCAATATACACTGAGACTCACACATAAATACCCAAACTGGTTAACTTTTATTGTTCATTATTTACATAAAAAATTCAAACTTAATTTTAACAGTTTTCCACACCTTAAATACTTCCTGACAGGCTCACAGACAAGTTCCAGCAGGACTCCAGTTGGATCTAGCACTCTGAGGGCTCTGATTGAGGAGATGTAGGCTGTCAGGATGTCGGTGGTATTTACACCTGCAAAAGATAAAAAAAGAGCCAATACTATATGCCTTCAAATTCACTTCAAATTTTTTTTACATCTGTGCTTAATTTCATCAAAGCTTAAAAAACTTAGGAGATAACACCTACTGCATTATGCCTTTCGCATGTAACATAACAAACTGTCATATCTAACACATTTGACTACACAACTGTTACTACCTGACTAAACTTGAAGGAAACTTCAGCATTTGTGAAAAAAAATTAAAATTATACAACAAAAAGCTATGCTAAATGCAAAATTCAAATTAATTTCAGCTAAGAAGCCACTGCACTGGACGCAGATTCAGGTAGTTCAGTCTCAGACCTCTTTTCAAATTCAGCCTACCTACTGACAAAACAAGACCCTAATTTCCGACATCAAAATGGAGTTCCTAATATCAATGTGGTCAATACCACTGTCAACATTTACAACAATGCTTCTGTCAGTGGATCAACTATTCTTTAGTATTCACGATATGGACAATATTCATGTTATCAAGTACTATCCGAAGGAATTAACATCATATACAGGAGTTTTTTTCTATGGTACCACAGTTACAACAGCTTTCACAGATAACACATTCAGACTGGCACCTCTTCCATTGCTAACACATACAAACTGTCACGCCTACTGCAGTGACACACTCATTTCATACCTGGATGCAGCAACCTGTTCTCAAATGCCGTCTTCAGCTCCTTCACCAAATGTCCTCTGAGGTCAGTCTTCTGAAGACATACCTGAAATAATGAAACGACTACAAATTTACACAGACAAATTCAATGTCTTGAGACAATATATAAAGTTGCCAAAAAAAGTGTACACTAAAATGAAAAAAGATTAAATTCTTCTTCCCCAATTTAATCTTTTCTCAGTTACATGTATGTGTACAAAGTTATATTCTCTTTTCTTAGTCTGTAAATAGGAAAGACCATTGCTTACATGTGGTAACTAGAGTGATACATGTACTTTCCTATTAGTTAGAGGCTGCTAAATTTTGTAAATAAAAAAAATCTCCTTCCCTTAATACCTTTAAGTCATCAAGAGCTGGTCTAGACTCAGGGAAGTCTACAATGATATTGAACAACTGCTCTATCCTAGCCCGTCCATACGTATCATACAGGTAATGCTGCAGCCTGGCTTTTAATGAGCTGATGTCTTTCCCACCATAGATCAGAGTTAACCAGCCTAAGACGGTCACATCCAGCCACTGTAAGTGTCAACACAGCATGCTTTATCTGTTTAAGATACACTAAGTACTGTTAAACTGGTGTTCAAATGTCAATCCATATTTTTCAATTAAAAAAAAAAGAAAAATCATATTTTAACTGATAGTGAATTTTACTAACTATTACAGTAAAAAAAAGTAATGTATTTTATCACATCATAAACATTTGTAACCTAATTTCAAAATGATGCCAAACTTTACAACAATGTATATTATTTATACTACATAAGCACTTGGTATTGAGATAGTTCCTTTATAAACTTTAATACTAAATCTTATATTTTTCACTCATAAAAAAAGGCTTTACAAACAGTGCATCCTGAATAAAACCAAGTATTAATATTTTTGTACTAATTTATCATTTCATCATTAAAAATTTTCACACTTGATAGAAGAATGAATTATGAAGTTCAATATATTTGGCAATTTGCTAGTACTCACATTCTCTAAGAAAGCCACATAGGATGTCTCAAAGTTTCCCTTGCATGTGTGCTCTATGTAAAGTTTGAAGTCCTCATTGGTGATAGACGTCACTGACCCTCCCGAGATATATTCTAGTAATCCTAGTTCATCACTGAAAGATAAATTCAATTTTTATTTATCTATTGGTTAGATAATCCTTGTGTATTACAGTATTCCCATTCTGGCATCATTCTACATCAGACTCCTAAACTTTGCTGTAACTATTTATAATTGCATAATATTTCTGTCAATTTGAAATTAAATTTCTACCACCCACAATATTCTGGTCATTTGGCTTTACCACCAAAGTATGGATTTTCCTTTTTATATATTCAGATAAAGAAGAGAAGTACTTAATAATAAATATTATAAACAAAAATAAATATTGAATATTAAACATTATAAATAAATAAATAAACTTCTTTAATAATTCTCAGAAAAACTGTGCATTCATCAGGTGTGTTACAGTGTATACATGCATACATCAGTTTTTGACCAATGTCAAACAAAAAGTGAACTGACTAGATATAAATTTAATTATATGGCTAAGATTAAAGAGCTGGGGATTTATAATAACCACATTTGAAGAACTTACAGCTGCTTGTTAAATGTTTGAAATTTCCCCATAATACTGTCACACTGACAGCTTTCCAGGAGTTCATTACAACCCTGGCACTTGAGACTTTCTTCTTCTTCCTCCTTATCTTCACCTGATGAAGAATAATGAAAAACATTTTCCATAAAATACAAATCGGTATAATAGTATAGGATATACAAATCAGTATAAAAGTATAGGATGATCTTTGAAAATTAACTGCCACCTACTAAACAAACTTTTCTTGTTTAATTTGACAAGCACTAAAATAAATAAATAAATAAATAAATAAATAAATAAATAATGATAACACATAACACAAAATATAAATAATAAAATTGAAAAATAAATTTTTTTAATTAAAATTTCAATCTTATGACCAACTTCAGCACTGAAAAAAATCTTTTGCAGTATCTCAAACAAAACAAAACATACCATTCTGCTGATTCCTATGGTTATAAATCTTAACAGCTTGGGAGTATGCCTTGTGCACTGCCTCGTGGAAACATTTGGGAGGACAGAAGAATATCACAGCTTTGAAAACCCTCTGAGCTGTCTGTCTCACACTTTCTGGCTGTACTAACCTCTCTTCCTGGGCTCCTAAATGCTGACATATTAAGTCCAATCTTTCAAAACAAGGAAAATAACTGGACAGGTACTGATATAGTTCATCTATAGAATTGTACAGTGTGTTTACATCTGTTGTGCTAGTGTTATAGCTTTTCCAAAATCTGGTAGAAACGTTCTGCCTGATGTCTTGCTTTAGTATTTCTAGGAAATATTCCTGAATAACTTCCCCCATGCCATGATTCCTCAGAATATCCGCAGCCACACATAGTTGCTCTCTACTTGCAGGCTGATTCTGTAAGTTAGAAAATAATGAATTGCTGTTCTTTACAGTGTAAATTACATTAGACTTACAGTGCAGAGGCATATACAGTATCTCATCATCTGTCAAGCCAACAACTGTACGTCTGCCAACAACAGATATTTAGTTTACATATTTAGAGAATAATGCATCCGTTTTGTAAAATGTATACCTACCGGCACGTTTTGTGGGGAGAGGGCACCAGTAATAAAGTTCCAAGCAGCATTGACATTTTCAACAGCTACCGCCATTTCTCTGTGTTTACCAATGTAGCCGGTAGGCGGTGCTTCGAAAAATAAAAACACAAATAACTATTTACCAGCATTATTTTTAAATAACATATAGAATTTCAATAAAATATATTGAAAATTGCAAATTTTATGTAATGCTGGGATACAATCACTTATTTATTTACAAAAGTTGAGAGTTCAAAGCTTCTCTTGTTCTTTTATATTAAAGTTCGAAAACGAGCAGCATGGCGGCACCAGAAGGTAAGTTTTCAGTAATCGGCTGAAATTTAGTGGATTCCGTCCTATTTAAGCAAGTTTAAGTACAAACAAAGATGCAAAATAATTATGCAGTATTTTATACATCATGTGATTTTTTAATTTATTTTTTATTTATTTCGAAATCAACTTAAGACGCCTGGGAATATCGCGAAGCATGAATTTGGTTTTGGTCTTGTTGTTTACAAAGCCTTAAATCATTAACTCATCCTAAATGTAGCCTTGGTTACTTAAAAAAATCCCTAATTATCGTGTGTTTTGCTGTGGTATAAAAATGTACAATAAGTAGCTGTGAATAGTAACTAATGTACATTTTGCTCGACTAGTATAATTTATTAAAAATACTGTTTTCCCGTTTACTATGAAATTGACTTTGTTTGTAACAATTTACTATATAGGGTAAAATATAGTCTAAGAAGCAGGTCATACCAGGCACTGATGCTTACTTGTACACAGTTGATCTTTTCATAAAATTCTGAAATTTAGTGCTAGTACAGTGCTATTTTTCAACTGTTTGTTAAAAAAAAAAGAACATTGGGATATTGCAGAGATGGGTACTCTGTGTAGGTGTACAGAATTGCATCACATCTGTAATAAAATATGTGGTAACTTACACTTGTATTATCAATCAGATATCTAGAAGAAATATGGCATTTCATATATAAGAACTAACTTGTATGTCAGTCGATCCATTATTTGATGTTCTTTCAGATGATCCCCATGTGTTCACTTTCAAAGATGAAAAACCAAGTCCAGATCCAGTCTTTGAGTATCCAGACTCACTCAGAGATTCAAGTATCCCACTGATCATAGATAATGGTAAAGTGCTTGTATTAAAGTAACCTTGCTCAGTATTGATTGTTGATTAGAAAAAAAAAATACCATAAACCATAAAGCACATTCAAGTAAAATACTGATGCAAGGATGCCAGCCTATCACATATTCCATCCTCTTGTAAGAATCCTTTTCCTTTCTCTTCCATACAAATGTGTCAAACTATATACAAAAGATCTTAAAAGGAAAAAACTAGCCTCATAGACATCTTACAATATATTAAAAGTCATCATATCTAAAGAAAAATGTGTGATCACTCACTGTTTTAATTTTATGAAAATTAGTGGTATTGTGTAAAATCATATGTGGTAATCTGCTTGTAAGAAAATTTTGACTTTATACAGGCTTTCTCTAGAATTGTTGTATGTTTTAGACTATAAGCTAAAATTTTATATTATTTTAGCATGGATATCCAATATAACTTACTGTATTATTTTGGCTTGCTAAAACTTTTTGCAATGAATGATCATACTGTTATAATGGTTTTAGGTTCCTACCAGTGCAGGGCAGGTTGGGCCAGTGATGAAAAACCAAAGATGATCTTTAAAAACTTGGTGGCCAGACAGAGGGGGAAAAAGGTAATGTGTAAACCAGGGGTGGATCTAGAATTATTTTCTGACAGTCTTCCAAATTATCTTTGTTGATCCATCCTCTCTTACTGACTGTCTTCTGACAGAAAAAAATAGTCATCGTCAATGTAAACTTAAAAATCTGACCGTCTCCTGGAAGACCCAGAAGACGACTTCAATCTGCCCCTGTAAACTGCCAATATTCTGTATTGAATGTGAATGAAGATCTGAGAAAGAGTTGGGTAACTTTGTCACCACACCAGACATGTATTTCATGCTGATAGATTTACTTTTCATGCATGTGAATATTACTTTTTCAACTTCCTAGTTTTATTTTACTTCTTATATTTAGTGAATAAGGAAATATAAAGGAGAGAACTTATTTTGAATCATAAATCGCTAAAATGTACAGTATTTGTTACTAGTTTTGCATTATTTCAGGATCTAGATGCTCTGATAGGAAATGACATAGGAAACCTTGAGGTTATGAGATGGCAGCTTAAGAGCCAGTTTGACAGGAATATTGTCACACAATTTGACTTACAGGTTAGTAGGAGCAATAAATAATATAAGTATCCATTAAATAAATATTTTGCATTACCTAATAAAACAAGACTTAGTGTACACTTTAAATTGTCACTTTTTGCTGTCCATTTTGTTGTTGAAAGAGAGTTCTGTTGAGAAACTCGGCCGCAGTGGATGGAATTGGTATACCTTGTGAAGCAAACAGTTGCAGTTGTTTGCTCACTTTTATCATATTCCTTCAGTATTTATTTATATTTTTTTTTGTAATCAGCTTGTTCTCAACTTTTTAGTGTATGTTCATTTCACCGAAAAACTTTTGCTCATTTGTGAAGATAAAAAATGTTAAATTTCCGTACTTTTAATACTAAGTCTTGAAAACTTGAGCAAGTTAAAACTTGATGTTGAATGTTTGATCTCTTCTATAAGTGCTGCATATCTGTGATGACCTATATTCATGACCTAATTCCAGGAGCAAGTTCTAGATCACCTGTTCTCCCACCTTGGTATCAACACCCAGGGCCAGGTGGACCACCCAGTGGTCATGACAGAACCTGTCTGTAACCCCAACCACTGCAGGCAACGTAAGATTTGACTTTATTTGAGAATTCTTGTTGGATAGATAATTCTGTAAATAACATCTCCTCTTTTTATTATCTTATTGTGTCAAGTATCTTGTTGTGCACAATAATTTTTAGAGATGGCCAATTATTTGAGAAAATATCTTTTTCAGAGATGTCTGAGCTTCTATTTGAGGGATATCATGTACCACAAGTGGCTTATGGTGTGGATTCTTTATTTAGCTTTTATAAAAATCATGCAACCCCAGGCAAGTAATTTTTATTTGCTTCTTATAATATTTCAGTTCCTAGATAAGCACTAGAAATGATTAAGAAAGGGTAAGAATATTTAAAAGAAATAATTGTTTTGCATCATTATAATAGTATTTATATAATTTTGCAGTGTGCATTGATAATCACTGTATTTCCATATTAATGTGTGATGTATCATCTGAGGCTACACAAAGTTATTTATCATTAGACTGGTCAGATGTACTCTCCATATATATTGATAGGAAGAACAACTTGCAGTCAGAATTTCTTTGCTTAAACTACCATGATGTAGTATGATGCTTAAAAAACTATTTACATTTTAACATCTTAACAGACAAGACAATATTTAAAAAACCTTTTTCACCTCTTTAAAATAATAATATATTTATAATTTACATTTACTCCAGAGACCGCTAATGGCATGGTTGTGTCATGCGGCTACCAGAGCGTCCATCTCCTGCCTGTGAAGAACGGAAGACTGGACGCTGGTCACTGCAGGAGGATCAACACCGGCGGCTCCCATCTGGACGCCTTCATGCATCGCATGCTGCAGTTGAAATTTCCTGGTCACATGGCAGCCATTACTCTCAGTAGAGCTGAGGTAAACATGGCATGATCTTCATATATTTAGTACAGTTGTCTTACAAAATACTGGGTGTGAATTTATATCCACTCAGATGCTTTTTTTTGCCCAGTGTGAATTATTAAATGCAATCTTTTCATACTTCTTTGAAAGGAGTAAAAGTCATTACTATATATTTTTCATTTTGCAAAAGAGATTCTGCAATATCTTTTACTTGTATTTAAAAGATATTTTTCCTATGATAATATTATTCATTAGGAGCTGGTGAGAGAGCATACCCACATGGCAACAGATTACATAAATGAGTTAGAAGAATGGGCTGATGTGGACTATTATGAGGACCATGTACACAAAATACAGCTTCCATATACTGCAGTAAGTAATACTTGTAGAGGATATGTCTGTTGTTTACTTAATGTATTCTTAGCATCTGCTTACAAGCTCACATGTAAGGAGATAAGTAAAAGAAGGTCACTCAAACTTGTTACAATGATTGCATTAATATTATTCAGGTCTGCAACTCAAGAAAAAAAAGAATGATTAACATATAATAAGTGGATAGATGTGAATTAAAAAAATGGTGCAGTGCACAAATATTAAGCTAATATAAATTTTCTTTTTTTTCAGCAACCAAGCAATACATTAACTGCAGAGCAACAAAAAGAAAAGAAAGAACAACAGATAAGAAGATTAAAGGAAATTAATGCCAAGAAGAGATTAGAAAGGGTAAAACATTCATTTTAATATGCTTATCTTTAAATTCTGCATGAATTTAATATGTTATAGTAGTGAACAAACATTTTACTTCACTGTCCATAACGTAATTGATTTGTAAAACATAAGCTTAATGATTGTATACATTTTATGTAAGAATTGTAGGAACTGTTGTTGAAGGAAGGGCTCTTTTCTCTCTCTCTCTCTCTCTCTCTCTCTCTCTCTCTGTTTATGTCCCATAATATTTGCAGTTGGCAGCAGACCAAGAAAGACTCCAGCAGTTGATGAGTGTGCAGGAACTGATGGCTGATGATGATGAAGAGGCCTTCAATGTGAGTATTAACCTGTCTTTGTCATGTTAAGCTTAAATGCTGATTGTTTGATAGATCGCTTTTATTTTTTTCTCCTCTGTTTAACTTTTTAATTACTGGATTTAGATTTATGCAGAAAATTAAGTGTTTTGTTTTACCATCTGATTGCTGTGAAGGCCATTCTTACATGCAAGATTTGGGCTGTAACATGTAGTACATACGTATATGCTTAGCAAAAATGATAGTGAAAACAAATTTAAAAAAAAATTAATTCACAATTTACAACAATCACACTGTAATTGACTGTTTTTGAGGATTGTGTGCCTGCATGCTTGAGTGTGTGCGTGCTTGCACATGTTTGTGTGTGTGTAATTACTGAAGTAATGATCCACACAAATACCACTTTTCAGAAAGCTTTAGATGACTTGGAGTTTTCTGACCCCATGGAACTGCAGGAAGCTATTAATAAGCTGAGTTCCTCTATACAGAGAGCTAAGGACAAGGTGATGGGGGTTCAGACACAGAAGGAAGAAGAACCGGAGGTCAGTAAACAAGTGATTGAACATTTTTGTTTAATCTCAGACAGTCGCTGTGAAATTTGATAATGAGATGTATTGATTATCAATAGTGCAATCATTTTTTTAATGAAAAATTCCTTTTTTTTTTTTTTTTGTAAATTTAGCATTTTCTAGGGATGAATTTATTTGAATTCCCATGAGTTGAAAGTCCTGTGTCAGTAATAATACTGTAACATTAAAATTGACTGAATTTTAAATATATTTTGAACATCATAAAATTTGTTCATGATTTTTAGACTGTTTTATGTCTCTGCTTTTATCAGTTTTGTCATTATCTCTCAATTGATGGCTTTGCAGCCTTCATGTTGTTTAGAATTAGAAGCAATACATTTTTTTTGACACAAGCTCTAATATAAAATTTTATGTTTTATAAATATATTCTATTAAATGTTTCACTGCACTGAATGATTTGGTAGTATTTGAATAATCTGAGTTCCGAGAAAACTAATTTTGTTTGTGAATGTAGAAAAGAATGGTCAGTATGTATATTTTTATTTATTACAAATTCAGGATTTTTATAAATAATATTTCTAGACAAAGCAACCTGTATATGACCTCTTGGACACTCCTGATGACATGCTGACTGATGACCTGCTCCAGAAGAAGAAGAGACAACAATTCCTCAAGGCTGCAGCAGAGGGCCGAGCCAAGGCCAGGAAACTGAATGAAGAAAAGAGAAAACAAGTAAACTGATGACAATTTTGAAATAATCTACTTTGATACCAAAAATATATTCAACTTTTTGCCATACGTTAAAAATTCAATTTAGCATAAAAATTATGTAGTATGAAAAAAAAACACTTCTTTAAATTCTGTGCCAAGTCCACTAATTTGAAAAAAAGAAAATGACGAAATTGATCTCTTAGTGACCCAAGAATTATTAGACTGGAACAGTAAAGGGATGATGTTGAGTGCATCAGATAATTATTTCAATTATCTACAGCAAGAGCATCTCAATGCCTGTGCTTTTCACCAAATACTTTCTGATTTAAAATAAGCAAATGAAATAAAGTGCTAATGATAATTATAACAATCAATTTCAGGAACTGATGGAGGAAAAAAGAATGGAAGAAAAGAGAAAAAAGAACTTCCAAGAGTGGCTGGCAGAAACCAGAAAGAAAAGACAGGTTTGTAATGTTCAAATTTTTACTTTGTGTACTTACTGATGTTGGAAACTAGGCTCAGTTCATGTGGAATGATTGTACATATTTAAAATAATCCTTTTTTTAAGATAAAAAATGAGAAACTTTTGATTAATTTTTTAAAGTTTGCTATTGATTTGAAGAAGATATTATTTGCTGTTTGGCCAAAATTAAATAGATTCTTAAAACAATAGCAGGAAATGATAATAATAAATAAACAGTTTGTTTTATTTCTGAAAGGGACTTTTTACTAAATCAAATAATGTTACATGAATTTGAGCCTTGACCAAAGCTGCATACTTGATATAGGTTTTACTGGACAAAAGGAATCAAAGAAAGCAGAGAAAGTCAGACATGGCAAAGCGAAGAACTTTTGCCTCACAGCAGAGGATGAAGATTATTTCACAGCTAGCAGAAGGTGAGACAGATACTGTTAAAAAAAAAAAAATAATAAATAAATAAATAAATAAACAGTCAGTTCCTTGGCTTAGTATTTCCATGAGAGTGCTATTACACTGCTCTTGACAGGGTAAAATTTGACCATGTAACCTTGGTAATTAAGTTCTTAGCAAGGAAATCTCACTTAAGCTGTTTTTTTGAAACCGGGACCAGTATACTTATCTAGAGAATTGTTACAGTATTAGGTGTTCCAAAATATTGTTTGCCACATCAGTTTTTAATCAAAAGTGCCTAAGGTCACACATGGGCACTGCACTGCTGTGACCTTGTCTTTCATACCTGTAAAAAAACATTAAACTATAGAACTCTGTAATAGCACACTTGACTAAGTCTACTGTAACACAAATTAGAAAAAAAAAAGCAATTGTATTAACTATATTTATACAAGTTTGATAAATTTGCCATGTGTATATCCTACAATAAATTTTACAGTGATGTGTTTTTATTATTGTCACAATTTGAGATAATTTTCAGTTCAACAATCCATTTTTGTTAATGTAATCTTTATTTTTTAGGTGAGAAAAAAAAGAAAAAGGAGGACACTTTTGGAATGAATGATGATGACTGGAATGTTTACAAAGAGATAGTAAGTACTGACAAAGTATTTTCAATCAGATTAAATTTATTGAAAATATTTTAAAGATTTGGCCAGAGTTTTCTAGTCTTGGCTCACATGCCTTTTATGTGAATCTGACTCAGCTGGTTTAACTTAAACTAGTGAGCTTCTTCTTAAGAAAGACACTGCAAATAGACAAATAAAGTGAAGTTGACATTTTGCATTATAAAATAAAGGATCTATTGAACATTTATTTAACAATATACTTTGTTTCCAGTAACTTGGTACCTGCCCCTTTTAAGTATCTCTATTTTTTTTATTATTAATCAAAATAATTAGCTGCTGTATTCTGTTGCATTTAATTCATTGTTTAGAATTAAAGTTAATGATTGCTCTCTGTGTTTGTTTCAGAACATCAGGGCAGGAGACAGTGACTCTGAGATGGAACAAGAACAACTGGAAGAGCTAGAAACTATGCTGAAGGAGTATGATGAGGAGTTTGCCAAGTAAGCCATGTTATCAGTTTGTAACATTTATGAAACAAAAAAATCAAAGGCTGATTTTTACTTTTTAATGTTGTTGTTTTTTTTTATTTACTAGTAAGTTATGATCACATTGTTCAGAAAACTATAAAGTATTTGTTTATTGATTTGGTTAGGAATTTAAAAAATATTTATTGTAAAAGCGCATCATAGATTTGTTAAATGTATTAAATGATCATGCTGATGATAAAATGCCTACCTCCTCTCCCATATTAGTACTAGCTACAACATGAGTTCTACATGTTCAACATGAGCTGTATGCAGCATACAAGAACTTAATTATATTCAGTTGCAGCTGAGATGTAATTTGCTCTTGTATGTTGCGTACAGGGGATGACGAGTAGTTGTAACTGAGTTATCCCAAGGCTGACATTTTGAACAATAGTGAAAGGCGTGTATTTAAGTGCACCTAAGCGAAATACAAGTAGAATTATCCTATTGTTTAAAGCACCTGCTGTGGGATAATTTAAATTATTTTACCCAAAAGGTCTTGGTGCAGATTAAATTTAAAATCTTATGGGAAGATCATTATAACTTTTGTAATGTTTATCTTTTTTATTGTTATTTCAATCATCTGTATAGTCTGTTAATTTAAATTTTGTTTCAAGTTTTCTTTATTTTTTATTTCTAGAGACTGTGACCCACAAAATGGTGATGGTGTGTTTGACATAGCTGAGTATTATCGTCTCCATGTTAGCACAGAGCAGATCAGGTTGGAATTGTTTTACTAGATGGAAATTATGTTCTTAATAGAGATCCACATAAAGCTTTAGGTTGGCCTTTTTTTTTCCTGGTAAAAATCGTCACATAATACACTGATGAATTCATCTACAATGAAATTATCTATGTTTATCAACTTCTGCTAGAGATTTACTCTTATTTCCATTCACCTATGGGTATATGGTTATGTAATAATTGATTTTATATTTTTTTCACATTTTTACTATTTCAGAATACCTGAACTGTTATTCCAGCCCTCAATATTAGGAATGGAGCAGGGCGGTATTGTGGAAACGCTGGACTTCATTTTAAAGAAGTACTCCCCCCAGGAGCAGCTAGACCTAGTTCAGGTGAGGCCGTTAGAAGTCAAAGCAACTCTCACTAGGGGGCGTTCCAAGACCTCCACCAAGGAAAAGGGCGATAACTGAAATGGATATCAGAAACAGTTATTTTTTTCAAATTATATTAGAAAAGCAGGTGCATAAAATTACTATCAAGCAAAATAAGTACATTTTATCGTGGATATTTTCAAAATGAAACTGCCTTTTAGTATTTATACTAATGATTCAGAAGTTATTTAAAAAAAAAAAAGCTAAAATCAGAGTTATTACCTCTTCTGTCTGACAAGACACCTTCATCAGGGAATGAGGCTATTATAGTCCCTTAAAGTTCTTCCTAGATGAAGATATTTGGATTTTTTTTTTGTTTTTATCTGTTCTCCACACTTTTTACTTTTCAGTATGTTTTTTTGACTGGAGGCTGTGTATCCTTTCAAAACATGAAGGAAAGAATGGAGAACGAGATAATGGCTATCAGACCTTTCCAGTCTCCATTTTCTGTTCACATGGCAGGTAAGAACTTACACACTTTGGGGCATGTTTCCAGTTAAGATGGACTGGACTCACTCAATATCTGATCAGCAGATAATCTAGGTTCTGTTTCACATACATACACATAAGGGATGTAGAGTAGTTGTAACTGACTTATCCCAGGGCCGGTGCTTTGAATAGTAGGATGAATGCACTGAAGCACTAAATAAATTAACTGATCAGAATGAATAAGTCACGGCAGGCATTTGAATATATTTTATGTTCACATTAGAATATATACTCCATATAACTTGTATATTTTAGCATATGGAAACTTTGAGTTCGACAATGTTTATATCACTGTCATTATGTTGGTGGTTATTTTATATCCAAATTATATTTTAGAAACTTCCCCTTTCTAATCAATAAGATGACAAGTTAAATAAGCAGAATCGGGCAGTATTTAGTTAAATTATATTATTTAATGATTTTTGTATTGCAGAAGACCCAGTGCTGGATGCTTGGCATGGCGCCAGGAAATGGGCCCTGTCGTCTGCTCTGAACGTCTGCAGCATAACACGAGCAGAGTATGAGGAGAAAGGAGGAGAATATTTGAAAGAACACTGTGTGACCAACAGATATATTCCAACCCCTGTACTTGTACCAACATGATGCTTATGTTGTATTTTCTGAAAAGCTTTTTTTTATTATCTTTACACGGAACATTTGTAAAGAATGCTGTCTAATAAGTTTGGGGTCAATCAGTGCATATTCATGGGAGAAGCAGCCAATAGATGCCCGAAACTGAAAACTCTCTCTAGTTCTGGAACAGACCTCTTTTTTGTTGCATTTTGTAGAGCTTGTGAAGTGCAATACTCTAGGTGGTAACCGTTTTTTTTTTGTTTGTTTTTCATACGGAAACATACAACGTCAAAATATTCAGTGGTGAAAATAAAATGTGAAACACGCCAAAATTAGCAGAGTTACGCCCACAGTTACAATTTAACTTGAATAGGAGGTCTTTCACTGGCAATCTTACTGTGACCTTAAAATGGACCTTTGACCCACTTTTCTCTGCAGTCTTCAAATTTTCCGACTCATATTTCCAAAACTGGCAGAGATACGACCATAGCTACTATTGAACTTGAATAGGAAGTCAAATGCTGGCAATCTAACTATGACCTTGAAATTGACCTTTGACCTTCCCATGAACTATACTTTGCAAATTTCTTCACGCTTACATCTCCAAAACTGGTAGAGATACGCCTGGTAGAAATACTTTATCAGCACTTACTATCTCTTTGTAAACATTCCAGTCATCATCATTCATTCCAAAAGTGTCCTCCTTTTTCTTCTCACCTAAAAAATAAAGATAACATTAACAGAAATGGATTGTTGAAATAATAATTATCTCAAATTGTGACAATAATAAAAACACATCATTGTAAAATTTATTGTAGGATATACACATGGCAAATTTTTACGTCTGGTCGGGCTTGTTGCTGTCACGTTTCACCTGTCCCCAGTAATTTTCCACTGCCCCCTCCCCCCCTCCAAAAAAAAAAAATTGTATAAATTTCTCAATATTTAAGCTGGTTCCTGAAGGTGTGTATACACCCGGGGATTATGGACAGTGTTGCATGTTGTCCATCATTTCGAGGCATGCTCCGTCATTACAGGCTCAATACTACAACAAATGCCCCTCAATACTCAACATCGGCCCGAACGAAGCCATATTTGATAAAACCCCTTTACACTGGACGGCGTCCTTTCTCTATCCTTGAAACTGGCCAGGACGCCATTGGACGCTGAAAGAACGCACACAGAACGTTCAAGTATCGCCGAAGACGCCATGGTGGCATGTTCAAAACAATCGCACAGAGAACGCAAAGGATGGACGCTGAAAGGTCGCTCAAGGGACGCAGAGAGGACGCACAAGCATCGCCGTGGTCGCAGAAAGGAGGCACAAATATAGCTTTGGTTGCAGAATGAATACTCAATGACTGACCAGTAGTAAAGCCCCCTTTACACAATACGGCGTCCCTTTTGCGTCCAGCAGTTCGGCCCCATTTGAGAGTTAAAGAATTATAATACTTTACGTGCCGACAACTGGCCGATCATTGAGCATTCATTCTGATACCAAATCAATGCTCGTGCCTCCTTATTAAGACCACAGCGATGCCAAATTTCATGGTCGCAGAAAGGTCGCCGTCCAGTGTAAAGGGGATATAAGCACGTAAAATGCTGTTTATTTTTACTCTCAAACGGGGCCATCGGTAAGGTATTCATCACCAGAGACAAGAAATCTGAGGGTATAGCTTGTAATGGTCTCATACTAGCTTCCAATTGGTATTTTTTTTTTCTAAAATTCTTGAACCGATCCATTTTTGGAGGTAATTTTAGAGCGAATATTGTGCCTTTTTTTTCAAAATACAGTTCTTGTCGCAGTTTTTGCAGAATGCGTCTTTTGACAACGAACTCAAACATTCTGTGTTGTGTCACGCGGCCTTTTTTCGTCTTCGGTGTCTGCATGCCTATCATTCTTATAAGGACAACAATGATCACGTGGCTTATTATCAGCCCATGCAGACCTTGCATTACAGATGTTTGGTAAAAGAATTTTATACCTAATTATATGTTTTGTTTTCTGAAGATGTTCTTAATTGGGTGACCGGGTTACTGATAAAGAAATATAAAAGAGTCAGAATATATCGAAGGACGCCCAAACAACGCTCATTGGTCAAGCAGGAGGAAGAAAGATCGCGGAATGGTCGCCACTGATCGTCGGTGAAGGTACAGAGAACGCAACGAGGACGCTCAGCGGTCGCTCAAACATCGCAATGGACGCCGTAGGCTGCACAGGAGACGCACACTGGAGGAAGGCAGGTCGGTCACTGGACGCACAGGTCGCTCAGTAGACGCACAGGTCGCTTGCAGTTTTACACAGGTAAAATCAAAATTCGGTCGTTCAAAGGACGCACAAGGGACGCAGAGGCCTTTACACTAGGACACAATTTCATTTCTTTGGCGACCATTCGGCCTCCTGATTACATTTTTATTCGCAGAAGGGACGCAGAAACGATGTCATCCAATGTAATGGGGCCTTTCAGGGCGTGAATACGAAGATCCTCATATACTGGATAATCTAGGATAAAATGTTTTTCATCTTCAACACATCCTAAATCACATACTAAACAGCTAAAACAAATTGCGCTTAATACTTCCCCACCTTTAATGATTTTGTGTTTTCGCACCATAAAAACAGCAGCTAGAATATGACGACTCCCGCTTACGTCATATATACCAAATCACATAATCATCAGAAGTTATTACATTATCCTTTAGTCGCTATGTGCAGAATATAAAAGACGACACTGTGCGTGACTACGCTTCGCCCTCATGTCACATCACTCCTACTTCTAGAATTGCACTCGGTGACACACGATATGAGGTAGTGGTTTCTTACCCCTAAATATAAGACTAAAAGAACAGTACGTTGTATGCAAATACATAAGTTTTTACTTATATTACGATGTTGTCTTCGGTATACACACTGTCACACGCACAAAAACAGTGAGATGAATGCAGCAACGGCCGGAAAATCTGAAGACGACCTGAGTCGACCTCCCAACCCAAGGCCGCACATGCGCGGCAATAGCTCGGCCTGAGAGATTTAAAGTTGGTATTGCACGTTTTCTACTTCTGTGATTGTGTATCAGTTCAGTATCGAGTGGCAGTGCATGTGCAATTCGAGTCGGCAGTGAGGACGATTAATCTCTGGGAAATACTTTGGCAACGAAAAAAGGAACGCTGGTATATCACGATGAAGTGTCTTTTAATATTGATGCTAGCCCTTACAGGTATTTTTGTTATTATTTCAGTTTCATAGCATCTTATCGATTATATTTTTGCATAACATTCGAAGTAGCCCAAGTTTGTATGACAATCGCACCACTTGCAGTACTTACAGTTGGGTGCTTTCGTTTGTCTGGGATCGTGAAACTTTATAGTTAATTAAGTGGCGGATGGAGGCCGTCTTCTGGATCTTGCGATAGACGGTCAAAACTTTTTAAGTTAACATTGAAAGGTATCGATTTTTTTTTTCTGTCGGAAAAGGGTTAAAAATTTTCAAGATTTCATTGACGATCTTCTTACTTTGTCTGTGACGGTCTTCCATGATTATGTTAAAAGCTGACAGTATTCCAAATTAACTACTCTACCATAAGTTGAGCTTATTAATTTATGACGCAACTAAAATGCCTGGTGAACAGAGGGAATGTAGGAGCTCGTAAACAATTTAACTGGTAAATTATGCACCGCCACACTCCCCAAGCCAGGTAAACAGGTAACTCAACGTGTCAGATTCTTGGCATGCTTTCAATGTATCTCTCTTTTTTTCATTGGGTAATATTATGTTATTGGTATTTTTAAAAGACGTTTAATGTCGATATTTAAAACAAGCGAGTTTGGACACGGTCGCAAACATTCAAGAAAGAGACCTCACGAAGATTATCTTGAAGCATGGACATGATCAGGCCAGGGGCAGATTTAGGCCGTCTTCAGGGTCTTCCGGAAGACGGTCAGATTTTCAAGTTTACATTGACGGGTATCTAATTTTTTCTGTCGGAAGACGGTCAAAAATGGAGGATGGATCAACAAAGATAATTTGGAAGATTGTCAGAAAATATCTCTGGATCCGCCCCTGAGGCATTACTTCCGTGGATCCCCCTGACACCCCTCCCCCTAAATCCGCCGCTGATGAATGACTTTGCCCTTGCTAACAGTTTAACATGACGCACTGGACATGACCAAGTTATGTTTCTCATCACTGATTAGCACCTGATTGGCACAGGTACATGCCGGTATGTGCATGTAGCATGGGTCCAAGATTGGAGAGAATGCGATCTGGACATTTTCTTACCTGTTGTGTCAGTGTTGGTTATTAGGCCAGTAAACGAGCATATTTTCGACATTGAAGTTGGAAAAAATATCTGACAAAGGTTTCTCAACTGACTTCGGTTTGTTAAAGGCCCAATATAGCCAAAAAAATTTTCCCCTTGAATCCCCCCACCCCCATGGCAAAAACCCGTTTTCGGCGAAAATCCAAAACGGCCGCCATTGAATGGGGTGGGTCACCTTGAAGTCCATATCTTGGTAACCCAATGTAACAGAAACATGTTATTTATAACACACTTATAAGTGTGTATAACACACTTATAAGTGTGTATTTCCACTAAGTGTGGTACCTGCAATCACTTGCGACATTAGTTACAAGGTCAAGGCATTTCTGAACAAAAATGCCATAATTTCTACATTTTGGTAACGCTATGTCATTAAAACATTTTAAATATCAACTTTTTCTATGTTATAGATATCGCCAATCATTTGCAACTTTTGCATAAAGCCACCAAAGGTCAAGGTTATGACCTAATTTCAAGTACATGGTATTTTTGGAGCAGAAAAATGCCACATTATATGTGATCCAGTGTCACAGAAATATGTCAACTACCACTAAGGAAGGTTCCGCCAATAATTTGCAACTTCTGTCAAGGTCACAGGATGTCACGGTTGTGATCTAATTTTCAAGGTCATGGCATTTTGGCTCGGGCAAAATTTGTCATCATATCTCCATTTTGATAACCCAATGTCACAGAAACATGTTTTAAGTATCAATTCATATACTACGTGAGATATCGCCGATCATTTAAAGCTATTCCTCAGGTCACCAGAGGTCAAGATCGTGTCCTTATAGCAAGGCCGTCATTAAATTTGTCAAAAATTGATCTAACGGTAATCAAAATGCAAGACGGATGGTTGCTTGTAGATCATTTCATTACAGAGAAAAGGCAGCGGCATAACTGTTTACTTGGACATAATAACGAACGTTATTACGTCCAAGCTGTTCAGTACTCATTTAAATCAATGGCCTTCTGTTTACATGACTGAAAGGTATAATGTATCCAATTGAAAATCGCTCATTGTTAAATCTGTCTGAATACCCAGACATTTAAATAATAAAACATCCGAAGTACCTGCACCTTGTGTCAATATTCCATTGTCAGAAAAAGATGGCGGTGTAAAAGATTCATGAGTTATTTAGAACTGCATTGTACAAAACATACCATTCTAGTGCAATAGGAGACAAACAGTGCTTTGTGAGAAGGCGAAAAATTACTTTTTTCTCAAGAAAAATTACATTTGGTTGAAACTTCCATATACATGTAGGATACCTTTAAAGCTTAATAACACGACATTAACTAGTTTCATACTGGTCAAAGACAACTTGTAACTCAATAACCACCACAGACTCACATATAAGGCATGTAAAATCTGGAAATGCTCTTACTTTCGTACGGGATTCTATACTACTTCAGTTGGGGTATTGGTTCACATATATATACTTTACCTATATCTGTCTATTTATATATGGTTTCATTGCTATGCTCAACTGCAGCAAGGTAAGGAAGGATGCTGGTGAGAACCTGCTGCCAGTGACTGAAAATTGTCATATATTAATGACGAAGACTATTGAGATACAAAGTTACAAAACTGGGGACATAATATAACATCCCCCAAACTATGTAAGTGCCATAATGTAAGAATAATATATAAAAAATAATAATAGTAATAATAAAAAAGTATGTTTGTAAGTATGAGTGTAACCAAGATTAATTAAGAAAAATATGAGAAATCACAACAGCTATAAGGGCAAAAAGTTGGCACAAATGAAAATAAAAGGCCATAGTTTCCCACCCCAACAGATTTGATAAATAGTAGCGGATCAGGTCTCGATACTGGTTCTGCAGCCTGACAAGAGCTGGCGTGATATGAAAAGATATAACAACTTTTGACACTGATGAGCTTGCCACAAGACATCAGCTTCAAGGCTTGTCTACCAATACACATCATACCTTCTATTAAGGTGTTCACTTGTGCTGAATAAGTGAATGAAGCGGTCTTGCTTTCATGTAGGGTCCGCCATATTTGATCCGCGGATTGGTAGATCCGAGGATCACCTGCTCTGAATAGGCTCTATAAAACAAGTTCTGATCCAGATTTTAATGTGGTGAATTGTTTTTTTTTTTTTGCCACCTTGAAAACGGGCAGTGTGGTCCGATATACTGGTGAATTCAGGATCATTCGCTGCCGAGTCTGGTAGTTGGCTAGGCCTGCTTTAGCGGGCACCGTACCTCAACCCAAGGGGGGGGGGGGGGGGGTCGGCTTCCCCCCCCCGGCCACCCCCCCCCCCCCCCCCCCCCCCCCCCCCCCCCCCCCCCC